CGTCAGTGATGTTTCAATACCTGTATCAATATAAAATTGTTGTAAAATATAAGAAATTCCTGTTTGCCAATTCCTATACAAATTCCTGAATTACATAAACCTGAAGCAATTCGTAGAAAAATTCCTTGATTGAATTTCACCTAAATAGAAAACATTGAACACTTTTAAGGTTATATTTCAACACGCGTCAAGGAAAATAGGTTAAATTGGTTTCAAACAATAATACCCAATTGCGAACATTGAAATAATTAACTCTATTAAGGATAAACGAACTTATCATCCATGCTAAGGTTTTATTGACTTTACTTGTCAGAATGACAGAAAGCATACATCAGAAATCATTCTTCAAATAAAATGTTTCAAAAATTGCTTACAATTTTCCTTATAAAAACACGAATTTTATATGAGAAATGATCAAATTGATAATTAAATGGACGAAATCAAAACTTTTAACAAATGTTTCACAGTCGATTGAGTTATATTTCCTTCATCCAGAAATAAACGTTTATATAATAATATAGAACAGGAATGTAATTAATAAAATTTAAGTGACTACTTCGAAATTTATTTCTAAGAACGGAGAAGTAATATACTATGTTAACTAAAGCTTGTTACTATATCGTTAAGCACGTTTATCAATATAAGTAACACACTTTTTAGATTGATTACACAATGCAACTAGTGGAAAAATAGAGAAATGAATACTCACAAATTGGAATATATAATAATCCTCAATTACAAATTACATACAAGAGTACTTATAATGGTTCGTGAATTGCTTTCGCAGCGCTATGCAAATGCAGATCAAGCTGTAGATCGGTTACGTACTTGTTGGTACTTGTGTACGAATCAGGCTTGCCAATTATTTAAGTGTAAAAGTAAAAGTTCAGAGATCTCTTTATATTTGGCGGGAATAAAGTAAGTTGCGATATATCGAGAATTACAAAAGAAGATAAAGAATATCTCATAAAATATTATCATTATCATACTAACTGATATCGTTTTTTGACAGAAATTAATAGAGTCATAATTTCGAAATCAGTAAAAAAATGAAAAGCTTATCACTCCTTTTTTTATACAGATTTTTTAAATTGTCATAAACTATTTGTGTGTACTTCATAATGTAATTTAACAAAATTATTGAATTATTAGTAGATTAAAAAAACAAAAGCATTTTAGTACAGAAAAAACAAGATTGTAAAAAGAATACTAATTTATTTAATTATATTACAGATTAGTGAATAATTAAACATTAATTCAATCGCTAGCATTCTCGGCCTGATTATCTTCTTCCCTTCCGCTTTCCGAAGCGCTCGCAGAATTCGACTCCTCATCTGAATCTTTAAGAACCTTCCCTTTAATATTCTTTTTCGGTCTCAGTGTTTCAAAATCTGAACCCTCTTCATCCGATGAATATATATTTGACGCTGAAAATATAAAACATATTTTAAACAGACATTAAAGAAGCCTTTTTATATATTGGAACGAATATAGTTTACCTTTAACTGGAATATTCAATCCTTTCTTATATTTGTTTTTAATTGCTGCGAGGGAAATAGCGCCTTCGTCATCAGAACCATCATCATGGTAGGCATCAGCACTATATCCACCGACAGCTCGTCCAGTAGTACCCCTGCCTGCAGAACTCTTTTTCGTTTTGCTTTGAACTCGTATAGCCATACGTAGTTTTTCCTCTTCTTTCTACAAAAAGAGTATTGTTTATAAACTAATAGTTCAGTTCAAATGTATTATCGTAAATGGAGTTCAATATAACTTACTTTAATCATCTCGTATCTATTCTGATCCGGATTAGTTCCGACTTGTGATAATACTTTTATACCAGACGTCTTCTGTGATCTATCCGCTAAGGACATTGTCATCTTCCTATGTGTGAAAGATTCTGTAGAATGTGGACGGAATGTCAGTTTGGTTCTAAACACGGCCTGACCCTGGAGACCGGTTCCTTGTCGGATATACAAATGATTATGATCTCCTTGAAGCGGTTGTTTATATACATCGAAGATCTCGGAGCCCAGATGTAAGGACATGCTGCCATCAGACCATTTTACAAATCTAGCGTTACTCTCCTTGACGATCTTTCCCTGGTCATCAAATGTTTCCTTCCAACGAAGGGTGTTTTCGACCTTCAGTTTTAATCTAGCTCGACCTTCTTCATCTAACGTTTCTTCCTCATCTATCTCATCTTCGTACGTTTCCGTATCAAACGGACGCGTCTCTACTGAAAGGAAATTCGGAAGTTTTACGAAATGTATTTCGCGTCCTAAATCTGTGCTGATTTTCGGAATCTCAACATCAATCCTTGTCTCTGGTGGGGGTTCAGGCTCTTCTTCTTTCTCCTTATCCACATCCTAAAAATAATGAATTACTAATTCTTGTTTCTCCTTTAAAAAATGGTTCGATCATTGACAATAAAATTATGCGTACATCTTCAATGACTGGCTGACTGGGTCCTTCACCTTCACTTTCAGATCTATCTCTACTTCTGCTTCTGCTTCTACTTTTACTTCTGCTCTTACTCCTACTCCTACTCCTACTCCTGCTCCTGCTCCTGCTTCTGCTCCTACTCTTGCTTTTGCTTCTGCTTCTACTCTTGCTGCGACTCCTTTCTCTTTTCTCGTCCTCTTTATCCTTTTCATCATCTGTGCTGATGTCACTAGCATCTCCGAAGAGAGCGTCCGCAGTTGGAGCTAATGCTTGTTTATCTGCCGACTCACTTTCTGAATCGGAATCTACTAACTGTTTCGCTCTGTTTATTACATCTTCTGTTTCTGACGCAGAGCCACTGTTATCTTCCTTGTGAGTTGGTGAACTTTGCGAGCTGTCGCTATCGTTTGATTTTGGACTACCTGTATGATGAAGATATTTAGTACATTTTTCCAGTTATATTTCACTTGTTTATTCCTGTTTCATTTACCAACCTCTCGTCTTCACAGACTTCTCAGATTTCTCAGTCTTGTCAGATTTGTCAGATTTGTCAGATTTGTCAGATTTGTCAGATTTTTCAGATTTTTCAGACTTTACAGATTCATTGTCATCTTTGTTTTCTTCAGGACTTTCTGCTTTTTGCTCAGGATCAGCAGGTTCACTAGTTACAGAATTAGGCGAATTCACCATTCTGAAAGACGTTATGGAAATAGTAATATTGACGTTAATGGAAATAGTAATATTTTAAATATTATGTATATATACAAACTTTTTAAAATCAAGAACCTTGTAAACGTTGTTCAACAAAACTGGTGGTGAACCGTGACTGTAAACTGTAACCACTATAACCTGAATGGAACGGATGGAACATGTAACCACAACCACAACCAGACCAGGAATGTCTGGCATCCTGCATGTATCCTAACTGCGACTGTGCTGCCGCCTCCAAACCGAATAATTTGAAACGATTTGTAAATGCATGGAAATTATGCTTAAAATTGATACTTTCTCAATATAATTATCCGGATTTGCATGTTATTGTTAAAAAAGTTATTAACGAAATAATAGACCAACGTCGTGTAGACTCAAAATTTCACTGCCTCCGATGAAACTCGTCCGTTCTGAGACACCCTGTACATGTAATAATAAGATGTATACATTTCAATATATAAATTTTCAAAATAATTAGTTATCAACAATTATATTTGTGTACACATTCACGATTTATAAATAATATTCCATAGTATGAGAGCTCAAAAGTATTTAACAAAACAAAAACAGTACAAGGAGTACACACACAGTACACCGAGTACACATTACTACCGGCGAAAGTTCATTCATTCATGTCCCAGTTTACGAATTTCATTAATGAAAATATATTCCACGATACATATCTGTTATTTGAACTTCTTATCCGTTTAACCAATTATCAATAAAATATGTACGTATATGTTCGCGGTCTGTGAGTTCTCAAATGATTCCTGAAATCATGTACTTTCAATGATTTTTGTTACTTGACGTCTCTCTCATGGTTGGATGTTTTGAATTTTTTGAATCTAACCAACGTGCGATTGTAAAAAAATGAAACGTTTGAAGAGCGAATTGATTAATGCCACGATTGAATCTTATTTAAAGCGGCGTCATTACCAGGCAGGTTACGTTCTCGTTTTGTTAGAGAAGCTGTATTATTTACAATTGCATTGTGATCAACAAACGTAACATAACCTTATCATCTTAACATGTCATTTGCAGATCGGTGATGTTTTCTGCAAAGCCAGCCAAATAAATTGTCGAACGAGCGATGAAATGACCCTGAACGCGACCGCTGCCTCTGCCACATCTCAAGACAATTCCATTATTTTTAGTGCCATTAGTATTGATGTTGCCGCTGCAGATCAAGCGTATCAACGGTACATCTGTCAGTCCTTTGATTCTCTTATATTTATATTAATATACTAAATTTATTACATGATTCCTTCAGGTTAAAGATGTGGGTAAATATTGTAGTTGATGATAAATTAAAAATGGAATTGAAAGGGCTTTTATACCCTGTATTTTGTCACTTGTATCTAGAGATGCTACATGTTGGTAACAGGCAAGCAGCTACTCAATTTCTAAAATTACATCAAAATGAGTTCAATAGCGAAACAGAAAAAGACTTCTTAGAAGAGTTGTCGAGTGTGTTTTCAGTTCAAGATATTGAATTAAGACCCTTAGTCAATTCATTCAGAACTAGAAAATACAAAGTAGACATGTCAGACATTGCTCATTTGTGTCTACAACAGTTTCTTTCGAAACATGGTCACATTATATTGATGCAGGTATCTAACGAAGATATATTAAACATTACATAATGATTATTATCCTTCCTTGGTTTCAATTATACTCAATAGCGTACGATCATTCTCATTTTCATTTATCAGATAATCAACACGCACGTGACAATAATTAAAAAAATGGATGTACCTGAAACAGATACAGAAGGATGCGAGGAAACAGGTGCACGTCCTGAGATAGGAATCAATGGTTACGTGGAACAGCCATCGGGTACAGGAACTGATCGTGAGATGAGAGAATTGCAGGAAGCCATAAGATTAATTAGAAATAATGCTCATCAACCTGTGCGAATATTCGCAGTGAATAATGCTGTCGAAAAGTAATTATACAGAGATACAGCTCGTCTCTTCCGAAAGATAACTGATTAAATTTAGTGTTTAATGTCGAATGTTCGTAACTTTACAGTGCGAGTAGCGGTGTAATTCCCCCTAATATGGACAAACTAGCAGTAGGATTTAGTACTACAGAAATTAGGCTATGGGGTATAAATGAAGCAGTATTAATTAAGCCAAAGTACGAGGAGTCTCCCTTCAAGTTTGCCTCTGATATCCCTTTCTTAAACAAATTTTATGAAACTTCAGACCAAATGTATGTCACATTAGTTTAAACTTAAATATAGTTTGGATCAACGAAAATGTGAAATCAATTTTACTTTCTACTTTTAGGACTGAGAACGGGGCAGTGATACTTAGAGGTCATACAGATATTGTGCATGATTTAAGGTTTATTCCAGAATCGGAAATTTTACTTTCCGTCTCTAGTGACAAGGATATGAGAGCGTGGAGGCTTAACGATTATACATGTGCTGCTATTTACAGGTTTGTAAATCATTCGTCACTAAATAGTTAATAAATTATTTATCAATGTGTTATTAAAATGTTAAAAATAAGAGCCTTTTGTCTAAATGAGTAGATTTGGAATTAAGGAAACTATTATAAGTTATGTGGTATTTGTACATTAATGAAATAAGATGCAATTAAGAGTAAGAATAATAGTGAAAACAAGAGTAATAGTGAAAACAATTCTGCAACTGTCGAGATATGATTGCAATAGGCGCGAGCCAACAAACCATTATCATTTATTAGTACTATTATTACTACTATTATTATTACAATGTACTTTGTTACAGTGGTCACAATTATCCTATATGGTGCATGGATCTTAGCGTATTTAATCTATATGTAGCGACTGGTTCTCATGACAGAACTGCTAAATTGTGGTGTTTAGATAGGATATTCCCATTGCGCATATTCGCCGGTCATTTTTTAGATATAAATGTATGTAATTAAAGTTCAAACAATGTTTATTTTAAGAGAACGATGTATGAACGTTATATCGTTTTTCAGTGTGTAAAATTTCATCCAAACGCCCGTTACCTGGCAACCGGGTCCGCTGATAAGACTGTCAGATTATGGGATAAAGACGATGGAAATTTGTTAAGGGTGTACGTCGGACCCCAGTCAACGATTTATAGTTTAGCTTTTAGTCCAGATGGAAAATACCTAGCAGCTGCCGGTAAAACAATTTATCTCAGTACATCTCTCATATTCTATTAATCTTCCGTTTTATTAAGTTATGCAGCGTTGATTGAAATTTCATTTTAGGTGATGACAAATCTATTTCCGTTTGGGATTTAGCAACGAACGCATTATTAACTGAGCTGAAAGGCCACGAGGACACCGTAATGAACTTGGATTGGAGCCTCGATGGCCAATACATCGCTAGCGGGAGTTTGGACGGCACTATTCGTTTATGGCCTACTCAAGATCATATTAAAACTGTTAATAGGTAATAATTTTTAGTTAAAACCATAAAAATCGGCTTCAATTACATTATTTTACAGCAATGCATCAAACCAAGTACCTGAAACAGAATCGCCACAAGTATACTCAACTTGCTGCTCAAGCATTCTATCGTTACGTTATTGTAATAAAAACAATTCTCTCGTGTGTATCGGGACGGTGGACAGTTTGTGAAGTCAAGAAATTAAACACGATATGCTTGAAAATCAGGTCTTTTATTATTACTCTTCACTGTGAACATTATAACACTGGGCCTAATCTTTTTAATACTGCACATCGCAACAGAGAAAACGATGATTTTTTTAATCCTGTTGTCGAAGTCCTTCGATATACTACGTAATAAATGTTGAAGTAATTTGTCTCGCGTAAAATCCAAGAAAGAAGATGAACAGTAACCATAATATCGGCCTCCATGTTCCTATGTTCCGTGTTATTCGAAAAGGCTCTGCTGTACGTATGCTAAAACCAAGAAATTAAATAAATCGAACAAATTTCATTTGGTATACTCAATAAATTTAATATACATTTTTTCTCTTCGGCTTATTATCATTCTCCGTGAAAACATGATTAATTACCATGATATTAACTGTTCCTCAACGACTTTAGTCACATTTGATTCCAGGAAACTATGTTTTTTGGGAATTAAACGATTTTTGTCTTCCATATTATTAGTAGCCTCATAATTAACAAGATTGCTACATTGATCGCTTCTTAGAAGATTGTTATTTTCCTCGATTGAATTCCTCCGCGACTCGATGTGCTCGAAGATGTCGCGTAATTCAACGACGCTATTCGCGCTGCTGGAGTATTAAAACGTCAATGTATTTCTCCTTTTCTTTACACGAGAATCGGGCGTGTTTAGTTTGTAATGGAATAAAAAAAAATAATAGTACAAACTCCGTTCGATTGAATTTTTCATTTTCCCACCTCTGCGTGTCGGAGCAAAGCGACGGCCTCCTGAGAGTAACTCTTCCGGAAACAGAGTTACGTTGCCTAGGAGCTTCCTGAATGTAAAGAAATACGATGTTTTATAAAACGACACATTTATTGACAATTGTTATGTAAAAGTTGTACAACAGAATTTGATGTAATAAAAGATACCTTAATCGAGTCTTGCGAAGTCAAAGGTCGCGAAATCGTTGCGATGCTCGCTCTTCTCCTAGCAATCTGAAAATGAAATTCATCAGAAAAAGGAACGGTATTACATCTTTTTTATAGTTGGAAATAATTATCGAACCATTGTTCGATTACTGGGTAGTCCGTTTCTATATCGTATTTTAGGTAAATCGTCTCCAATTTCTCCGGAATTTTCTTCTATCACAATATTGTTCCTTAACAATATTTGCCTAGAAAAAAAATTTTATGCCACCTAATGTATCATAAAATCTACTGAGAACTGCAGTTAAGCTAATTGTTCCTCATTAAAAAGATTCAAATAAAAATAAGACTTATTCGGAATGAATTACATGGGAAAAAAGAAAAATTCTTACTTCGTTTCCGCAATTTCTGCCGTAAGATTTTCACACCTGGAGCGCAATATTTGCAAATATTTGTCGCTCAGGAAGATTGCCCTGGACATTCTATGCTCTTGGTACACCGCACCGAGCGATTCAGCGGTTGAGGAAATTCGGTGGGCAGACCTGGCTATTACGTCTAATCGGTGACGTACCTTTTCTACTTTGTCTATCGATTCTTGGTCCATACAAAGCGAACACAAGTCCTGTTACGAAATGAAAAAGAATAGTTGAACTTGACATAACTGAATTCGTCGAAATTACGGATATTCATGATGTTTCGATTACTAGCCTTGATACCCTCCTGCACCTTTTGAATCTCGTACATAAAATTTCGTTCGGATTGATCGCGCTGACGAAGGTACAACGCCATTCTCCGTTTAAGGGTGATCCTGTCCGCACTGAGTCCTATTGAAAACGCAATATATTTGCGCTACAATTAAGAAAACACATTATTAAAGAGAATATATTATATTAGGGTGAACCAAAAAGTTCGTGTGTTTTTTTTGTTGTTCTACCCCTGCCTGGTTGTACTACGATTTCCGGCCCACTCTGTATATATCACTTGTATATAAAGTATCTTTAGTGACATTAAAAAATTATACAAACTGGACTAATAAAGAAAACGTTCAAACTTTTGGTTCACCCCAATATTATCTATAACGTTACAGATGGTTGATAATTTATTGACCTCGAGTTCACTTTCCGGTATTGTTTCCCTGGAAAAAGGAAAGATACGAATTAAATAAAAATGTTCAAGTTCTTACTAAAATATTCATTCCAGGAAGTACAACAGGTATAGCAATTAATTAAAAGATAACGTTTTACCTGTACACATTGTCTATATCTTCGGAAGTCGACAGACCCATAGCGTCGAGCCTGGTATCGTTGAAACTGGGAAACGGCGGAAATTGTTCCTGTTCGTTAACCGATACCGCCTCTTTGATGCAAGTACAATGTCGTTTCACGGGACACTGCCGTTCATAATCGCCTTCGGATAACGACCTCCTCGCGATGAAAATTCTCTGCATTGGACAATAACGAATGATTTATATTCCTCGTCTCATGAATGAGCCGAGTGGCTTTTGGATTTAAAAAAAAAAAAATGTGAAATAAGATTCAGGACTGAATTGCCGTGCTCATTTAGGAGAAGGACCACACGTTTTTCAAGAGACACGAATTTTTTAGTCGTTGTCTATAAATATCTCATTACACGATTTGGAAGGAGCGGAAGGCAATTTCGGCAGAAGTATCCGGACAAGCTTCATTTCGAATTTTCCGCAGCATTATATAGTGTTAGAATACCGGACGTTTTGCCGGCTTGGTCTGCGGCGCGCTTTCAGAGCAAATATTATTTTTCCTATCGAGCGGAATAGATCGCCAGATGTAGTGTGCGACCATGTGGCAACAGTTCGGTAACGATTCAAGGTACGTACATATAATATTTAGAATGTCTGGCGATGCCGAAGGTCTGCGATCGCAAATACTTGCGCGGTTTTATCGGTTACTCTTTCTTTTGCAGATTAGATTATTCTAAGACTGGAACCGTTTCCGCGGTAAATAATATTAATATCTGAGACCATTAGATCATTTCAGTGAATAGGGCACTTCCATCTGCGGTTTATCATGGAACGAGATGAATTTAACTTTGGAATTAATGTTTTTCATAAATGCTTTTAAATTGTAACGTAATCGGAATTGTATTCAATTCTTCCGGTACGCAATTGTAGGTCTAATTTGAAAATAAGTTAATAACCATTGGCACCTACTAGGACTGTATAATGGTTTTTAATTTCTCTATAGATGCGTAGTACATGTACGGTATGTCTGGTACATGTTTTACTGCCACAGTTACATTATTTAGCAAAGGAAAAAAAAATACAAAATGTTTTATGTGGGAAACTAATTAAGCACACGTCTTGCAATATACAGTCTGTTGTAACGAACTTCATAAAAAATACAGTTAGTTTAAAAGAATTTTCATAAAATTTTCATAAATAGAAATAAATAAGCGATAAGAAATAAATGAGGTGCAAGCGATATTCACAAACGTGAAAATGCTGATTTAGCTAATTGTAATGTCGACAAAATGATTCTTCATGTCCTACGATATTTTCTTGAAGCATGCATTCGAAATATAAAAATATGCATACGTTCCGATTATTCATGACTGTTGATAATGAGGTCATAATATTTTTATTACAAACCTCATTAATACTTGTCCATATATACTAGTGCAAATTATTTGATCTTTAATGTAGCTGATAGAATTAATAACGAGGCGGAATATAACAGTTGATTATCTCGTCTAGACAAAATTCATTTCAAAATTGCTTCATACAATTAAAGATACACATAAAAATTACATCAAACATTAAATCTGTAATGATGAAATATGATTCTATTTATGAATATGCAACACATCTGTTTTATTAATCATTACTACTTTACGATAGAGGCGCGTGATCTTCAACTTCTGACTTTCGTAACACGTTGGTAAGAGAATCATTTGAATTTCGCCAAGTGATGAAGTGGCAGGTGTATTTTGACATTAAACCGCAGGGACATGAAGGAATGGCATTAGGTACATACAGAAGAATGAACATTATTTTAAAAAGATTACCAACTTGTCGCTTCTCTCTGGTTGAGCAAAATTCCATTATTTTCTCTTGCTGGTCCCCCGAATCCGGTTTCCTTTGGGGTTCGCCGGTGAAGGAAGAGAACGAGGAGGATGGACTGTTGCTCTTCGATTTGACGATCCTCGCCTCGGCCCGCGTGGTTATCCTCGGCCGGAGCCTCCGTCCGGCCGACTCGTCCTCGCTGTCGGAACCAATCGAGCTATCCTCGTGACTCGACATTTCGCCGTCGACTGATGTATATTTCTCGAGACGAGCTGCTCTCGACGCGTTCACAAACGAGCGGGGATACACGGTATCTTTGATCTTAACCAGATCTGCGAATGAAGGGAGGATAGATCTTCAATAATATACATTTTATTGTATTTTTAGTATTTCTATTTCCATTAAATTCTTTCGGGGCGTGCGTCGCACAACCGATTTACCGGGACATGCGGGCGACGAGTATCGCGAACGAGTCGGGCGTGCGGCGTCGTTCGGTGAATTTCCACGATGAAAATTAATCGTCGCATCGGGGATGGCGCGATCCACCGTTTCGCTGTTCGCGGTCGTTTTATCGGCGAACGATCGGCTGCTGACGTTGGTCAAGTCCGGCGACGAATTCACTTGCAGCGAATCGTTCGCGAGTCTTTCGTCGTTGGCCTAATATCGAAAAAAACAATCGTTAAAAACGGGATTATTATTTTTAACTCTTAACGGATGAGTTCTAACTTTAGACCGTCGTAGCTGCCTGATAAACCGTGTCATTTTTATGGGTGTTCCTCTTGCGGTGTGTATATGAGAAATAAGAGGTCGTTAGGGAATTGGGTCAAGTTTTCGTTCTGTCTTAAGCCCGCAAATCTTAGTATAAGACTACAGGCTAATTTTGATTAAATTTTAACAAATAACTTTAACAAATTAATTTAATAATTTATAATTAAATATAATTCGTATTTATGTTGTTACAGGATGTTCAGTAACTGGTGGTATAAACGAGAAAGGAGTGATTCTATATCGAGGGATAAGATGAAAATGTAGGATGAAGCTTTTTCGTATGTGGCTTTGTTTTCGAGAAAATCGATTTTAAATATTAAGTAGGTACATGTAAGCTTGACTACGTCTTAGCCTAAGACGTCTCGGTATAACTCACTCCTCAGGCTTAGAGTTAGTGTCTATTTTACTGGGTGGTTAAGAATGAAACAGAATATTTAATCTGTTCGATGAATTTCATTATTACAGGAATTGTTCGAAGTGTTGTCAACTTAGACGTGGATTGGCTCTATAAACTATCTAAATGTACTCTGCTGTTTTAATTAATTAAATGCGAAATTAATTCTTTCCTGGAAAGTCCACTAGTAAACTCCTAAAAATAAATATACAAAATCATCACTGTTCCGGTCGTACCATCAGTTACCACCCTGTACATTACTTGCGGTTAGTTAAATTATTTAAAATTGCCATCGATTCCAATTCTGAGAACGCCGCCCGCGCAAGATTACTTTCAATGAATCCGAAATAAGATTTCATTCCTAAAATATTTTCAATGCCGTAGGTCCGTCAAATTCTACGAAATTAATTCAGGACCCGCGACTGTATCAAAGACGCGCCTCGCCGCGAAAACAGCCAGCTTAGGTAAATACCGTTCCAGAAAAAGCTCCACTGGCTCCGTTAAGAGTTAATAGAACGATTCTGTCACGAGAAGTGTCACCGATGTGCAGCTTACTTTATACTGGCGACATCCATTGTTATTCAATAGACAATATTTGCCAGTCGAGGTGTCAGTGATTGTTGCGTAATTATCGACGACCGTGTCCTCTCTCACCTGAGGCAGCTTCAATCTGGCGGATGGAGGCAACTGCGAAGTAGCTTTCGGAGCAGGATTCTCGTCGCTCCGAGGAACTTCCTCGATGAAACAATCCAGCGACGAGCCGCTCAAGAACTTCCCACTCTCGATCAACGTCCGGTAAGTATTGACGAGGCCTCTTTTGTGTAAGTCCGTTTGTTGATCATGGATCTCGTCGTTCCTCGTATTCTCCCGCGGCCGTTCGATCCGGACCGACGGGCTGCTGGACGTTCGCCGAAAGTCGAGCGTCTCCCTCTCGCTCTCTTGGCCGATCTGCTCGATCACGTCGAACGATCGATAAAACACAGACAGCTTCCGTTTAGGCACTCTCGACTCGCAGTCGGCCACTTTTAAGTACATCGGTAGTTTCCGGTCCGCGTTTAATTCTGGCGAACGCGACCTGTTCCGATGGACACCTTTCGTGGATTCATCCATTCGACAATTCTTAGTTTCTAAGTTTTTAGATTTCTTTCTGTTTATTCGACTTTTTTTTTACCTATTCGAATTACAAAGAAAACCTTGAGACGACTTTACATTGTCCTCGTTAAATCTAGAACTACGTGAGCGAGATTGAGGATGAGAATCGGAGTGCGTCAAACCCGTTGATGCGATGATGTACGAATTTCAAGTTCACCGAACACCCACGGAAAAGTTGTAACGCGCTAAGGAGATTATTACGTAACAGTGAGACGCATCGACGCTGGGCGAGTAACGGCGCGAGCGACCCGCGTGTCAAATGAACTGGAACGTTTTAATTAACGGGGACGGTACGGGACCGCGCGATTCATTTCTCTCCGAGAGACAAACAATCTGCATATGAATGCGTATATGAGGACTACCCGTTAATTAAAACTCCGTCACCGATTTACCCAATTTAGCGCGGCGATCATATCATTGAAGCAATAAATTGGCTTGTCCTTGCTATGCTGTATCGTAGAAACGGTTGACGGCAAGCGTTAAGCATTCACATGTGTTCCGAACTTATGCGCGGCTGTGGTTACTTATTAACTGAAATGTAACCTGTTCGACACTCGCGAGTTCTAATTATGACTACAAATAAACATCGTGCAACTGTTTGCACGCGTGCAGCGCATAATTTATTCTACCACCGAGCTGGCTGATACGGAGTTCGCTAATTACACCTTACGAGGCGAAATTTCGTTTGCAAAATATATTGCGTGATTTTTATATGTCATATTATTCTCATGCCAGAAACGAATCCTCAAAAATGGGAAACGCGATTCAATAGTTACTAATTTAAGACACCGGATTTTATTCATTTATTGGAAAATTGTATTGGCAGTCAATATGAAG